ATGTTTGTTCTGTGACTGCTAAACAATATGGATCAGTTTGCCAGTGTTTAATAACAGCCGAACGGATCAACCATTCCACTAGCTGCCCGAACATTTCATATCATCAAATAAGAAAAGATCAACTGGGATTTAGAATGTCATGTGATGGAATTTGTCAGTAAGCTGGTTGATGTCAATAAATGGGCTGAATTGCAGGTGGCGAATCTAGCTAGATGATTATGAGACACGCGTAAATCAAGGACACACGTAAATAAGGTGTACAGCTTGGCGCATTTTAACTGCGTCTGACGCCATCCCACAAATGTCATAAAATAATATGAATTATCAAATATTATGTTATTAAATTTTAATTATGACGCAATATAGTTGAGGTGTTTTAAAACGACCTTTAAAGGTCAAATTACAGACAAATTATTCATGGTAATGTACCACTAGGGTTTGTCATTCAGCATCAAAACTTTCACGGAATGATTTAGTTTGTGTCAATCATTTCCTCTTTTCTTAATGCTCTTTCTCAAACTTAGATAAAATACCTGAGTAATTTACAGTGAAGCAAAGATACATTTCAAACTTTATGAACACATGGCTAGTATGCAGGATTCTTAGAGTTACACAAGTACAGCATTATTCTGTTTTTAAAATTGTGTGTGCTATAAAATAATTACCATATTTATAAAAGGTGACCTTTCCAGCTATTCCTATAACATTTGCGGGAATGAAAATGGATGGAAGGGTCACATCATCATCATATACATTTTGAGTCCATGTCCATTTTGATTACGGTTGGACTCATCTGTCCTGGGCAATTTCCGACACAAGCAAACGTAAAATTTAAAAACGTGCTTGCAAACACCTTCATACACATCTTTACACCACTATATGCTCATGTTTTAATGTTTATATTTTACAGATGTTTGGCTTCAGGCCGTAACAACACAGGATTTTCCTAGGCAAAGACTGTTAGTCGGGATGTGCATAAGGGTAGTCTAATTGGGAGGCTTAGAAATTGGAGATGTTTTTTTGGTCGCAAGAAAAAATCATGTGCTGTCACATTGAACCCAGGACCCTGGAATTCAAAAAGGAAAACATCTTTATCCACCAAGCTACTGTACACCTACACAAGCTAGTGGCAACTTGTGTCCCGTAAGATTGAGACCCTTTGGGGATATATTTGGCTTACTTCCTTAGTCCCACGCATGTGCAAAACAAACAGTTATATAAACAATTATTAGTAGCTTCTGGCTTCATATTATCAATCACTGACAATAATTGAAAAACATTTAATCAATATATTTCAGAAAAACACATGTTTATCTCTTGTAAGTATAAGCTTTTTATATACGGTACATCACCTCATGATTGTTAAGAGATCAACAGAACAGCAATGAAGCATTCATACACTTAGATTTAATGTTACACAGAAGGCAGTTTCTTGCCTTGTGTTGACTTACAGTGGTTGAGATCTGTATAATGTTCATAAACATAATCAAAGAAAATTGGCTAAACATGTTTCCAAGGGAAATAGACAATTTAACAGCATTGTACATGCAAATTCTATATATTTCTACTGTTTACTCTAGATATTCCAAACATTTCTGGGAATTCATTTTTAAATTAATAATAACGTTTGTCTCTAACCAGGCAAACATATGCATATAATGAACAGCATATTATATTACTGTATAGATGATTGTGAATTTTGTGATTATTCATTACGGTATAAATTGAGTTAATAGAAACTTATAAATCATCTAGGCGATGAAGCAATACAGGGTTGAGTATGTGTACTCAAAAAGATGGCCGCTGTAGGAAAGCGCTACCTTCAGGCTTACTATACATATTATAACGATAAATAAGCTTTCTGCCTAATTATTATTTCATTAATTATTATTATAACAACATTAATAAATTATTAAACTATCCTAGCCAAAAAGAAGCCAAGTGGAATGTCTTGATTTAAAAATAATGTACTGAGGAATGAAAATCGCAATCATGTTTGCTACAACGCAACACCACAACGCTCAAGTTTATTTTTTGTACTCAAAATTTTTAAGGTTAAATTGAGCGTGCCATTGAACACGATGCTTAGACATATTATGATTGGCTAAATCTACGGCAACCATCTTCTTGAGTACATACACACAGCTCTGCGTACTTCAAACATCAAATGCGTTGGTGTTAGCGCTCTATGGGGGTACTGAATTCTTCAAATATCACATTAAATGTCACATTGGTAAATGAATGAACAGCTCAGAATGTTTCCGCTAATAATAGTCCAAGTTAATTGTGGTCTTTCTGTACTAAAAATAAATTATTGACGTACATCTTCCACATCGGGTGGCACTCAACCAGTAGTGCATCTATTAAATAAGAAATAAAGCAGTTAAAGTAACAGGATAAAAGACAAGTTACAATACCGGAAAAATTAGAGGAATGCTTTTGCTCTGAATTCTAAACCAGTGGCAGACTCAAGAGGGACCCAGCCGGCCAGCCCCCCCCCCACCCCACCTAAATTTTTCAAAATGGTAATACATTGGAGGAAAAAAGAAAGTTACAGTAAAATTTAAAAACTGAGAGTGCCATTTCTGGCCATCTAGAGGTGGCATAATCAAAAATATTCTTACCTCAGCCCTAACCATGGTGGGGCTGAGATGGTGGGTACCCTTCATCTGTCAAAGTCCCTCCCCGTGGGCCCCTCTATTTAAAAATTGTGGATCCGCCACTGCAAACCAATACAATGCATGACAAATACAGATCCTTCTCGAGGATATTATAGCATTGTCACTTTATGTGACAATTTCTTAATGTACTAATGATTAAGCATAATATTTTTCCAAACAATACCTGTAAAACTTTACAATAATTGTTTTTTTTTTTTCAAACATGCAAATTTCCATTCGATCTATGCATTTTCAATTAAAAAAACCCCAGGTCTGCAACCTCATTGTTTATAGATGATGGAAGATTTATACTTAACTTTCATTTCTTTATGAACACTATTTAGATATTGCATTGTTAAAAGGAGTGCAGTAAATGCATGAGCACCATTTGCAGCATAGAAAACATAAGTTCTTTAAATAAGCAATTAAAGTATCATTTTACTTTCTGGGCTTTTTTGGGGTTGTCATATCTTTATAGTTATCTTATCTTGATTATAAAAATATGTCACATCAGGGGCGGTGCCAGGAATTCCCCAACTAGGGGTCCAAGATTTCAGAAAAAACATAACAAATTGTATTACTATTAATAACTCATCCATTGAACTTAAATATTTGGGGATTATTTTTGATACAGGCTTACATTTAATTGTTATATGGATCACATAGTAAAGAAACCTAATGTTAGAAGGAATATTTTGAGATAATTTTTTATCACTTCTATACTAATTTAATTGAACTTGGTTCAGAGTCTCATTTCGGATGTTGGGGAGGAGGACTCAACTTCACCAGCTAGCACCGCCACAGGTTGTAATTTGAATTAAATCCATCAATATATTAATCTCTAACTACTACATCTTTTGATGTATTATTTTAGATCACCATGATATTTTAATCCATGTTTAAAAAACTAATCCACTAGCATAAAATATTAAGAAAATGTATGTATCATCAACCAAGAAAATGCAGCAGTCATGTCCAGATCTTAACCGTGCCAGAGATTGAAAAGGAAACAATAAAAAATAAATTGCACATGTTTTGCAGAATGTTTTCGGCTATCACTATTTTTTATTTTTCCTGTTACCTACATGAGTTCACACAATGTTAGAAAATTTGCTTCAATCTAAAGCGATGGATTTTAAGAATTTCCAAGATTGTTATTTACACTACATTATTATTATATTTTGCACACACTTAAACAGAATGCAGTAGTAGTAGTTCCACAATGTTTAAAGGGCTATCCTGGATACAATGAAAAATGAAACATTTTATGTGTGTGCTATTCGAGCACATTATATATATATATACTTATATAATATATACTCCATGAACCTTTTTAATATATAAATAAGTAGATAATTTTTGAAAATGATGCTGGGTAACCATTTCTCTATATTTAAAGTAACAGCCTGACAAATTCTAAAAACTTCACTAAGCCCCTAGAAAAAAAATTACTAGATAATCACACTAACCCACTTTGAATTTTATGTTAGAGGTTAATTCTTTTTACTTAAGCCATTTCGACTGTTGGTCAGTACCAATCTAAAGTGTACTTACTCCCAATGTTATTTGCATATTCCCCACCGTCCATTAATTTTTCAATTAGTGGATGCTTGGCTTGATTTTTTTTAGGTTCGTGTGCAAACAAAATTCCTCCTTTTTTCGTCACCACGATGACATCGCGATAAAAAATTTAATTGTAATTGAAAATTACTTTCATAAAACAAGCTAATTAGAACCTGAAGAAAGTTACTTGAAATTCAATATTAAATATGAACAATTAAGGAATTCATTGAATCAATGGACCCTCATAAACACAACAAACTGAACGTTTAATAAGGAATATTCTAGACCTATTTGAAAGACTCAAGGAACACATTTTATATGTAGGCCTACAGCCAGGCAGGAGGCCGCGCGGGCCTCCTCCTACTACTACTAAGCCGTAGCCTAGCCTAGTTATGAAATCATCGCACGATTTTACCTGTCTGCATGCACCGAACAAAAAGGACGTCAGTGACTGTATTCTCTCTCGAATGCTGAAATGTTTCTTTCTTTGACGAAAGTCTATCAAATAGCATTACAAACAAGTTCTTTCTAACACAATAATTATTCATCGTATCCATACTATACTGCTTATGTGTAGTTAATTAAACGTGTACTGCAGGAGAAAAAATTAGCAAACGCACAGCTAAATGTAAATACGCACACGTATACTGATCATATCACTATAGCAACCGATGAGTGCTACAACAGTAGGTTTTAAAAAACTAAAATTAAAAGACAGCGATTGACTTACAAAGCAATTAGTAGAGATGCATCGTACACTAAATGGAAAATTATTATACTTAGGCAGGCCCGTAGCCAGGGGGGGATTTTTTTTGGTTCGGGCGAACCCCCCTTTTCTAGCGAACCCCCTGTTTTCTAGCGAACCCCCCTCAAATTTTTGAATGAGTCCCACTCGGACGGAATGTCTGTTTTTAACTTACCCAGCATTAAATCAAAATTTAGCACCTAATTCATTATTTGGTGACCCGTTTTTAAATTCTAGCCTGCGTTACAAGCCTTCATTCATTGAATATCCCAGCTTCAGAAGTTCGGAGATTTAAATTGAACGCAACTCCGGCAAACCATGAATTTACGATGGCTTACATATAAGGATGGCAAACATCGATAAAAACCCGGCTCCCGTCTCACCTTTGACTGGCCTTTGCCTGAATGTTTGTAAGAATGTACCAACCGGTAACGAAACTGGTCGCCGTCTGCCTAGAGTAAATGGCGCCACTAAACGAAGCTAAAGTTTTGCGACTTAATCCACCAAATGCAGCTAAAGTTTTGCGACTTAATCACCTGATTCTGGACTGTGTGGTTAGTAAATTCCATAGCCATACTGTCCATCGCGCACACTAACCTATTTGCTGATGGAGCATTTTTGGGAAATTGACTCCTTTTTTCCCTCCCAAACAAAATATTATTAATAAGTCAACATGGTCCATCTCAGTCATCATAGCTAGTCACAAAATTAAGAAGGTTGTTTTCAACAACAGACACACACACACAACAGAACGGAGTGCGTCAAAACGAGTGTTTGTTAATTTTTAGTGATAAAGAATTACGAAACGTCGTAGAATAACTGACTATTTTCGTCCACTGTGGCAAAGAAGAAAACCACAGATAGTCCTTTAAGGTGGGTTATTTTCACAAAACCGAGATGCAATAATGAAAAAAATGATTATTATTGTTCATTTTCAATTTTTTCCTATTCTTCTTTCTTCCTATGCTTCTTCCATATTTTCGTT